AACCTTCAATTTCCGTATCATATGCTCTGTATCTCTGCAATCTAATGAGCAAATATCTTGGAATCCTGGATGGGTTCTTTTCAAATAAAAAAAAACCTTGGGTTGGTAAATTATAAAAATAACCTTTTATAGAATTTATTTTTAGGGTCATTTTTTACGGAATAGAGGAAATATTCATTTTTCATTAAAAAATCTATTTTACCCTTTTAAACATTATCCAATCTATCACATTCTATTTATTTACTATCAATCTCTTCATCACACTCTATTTTTTACACATCTCATCCAAAGTCAAAATTAGAAAGTTAACTACAATTTATACACTTTTTAAAATTGCCAAAAATAGAAATGGAATTCTTTAACGAAATGGTTAGAGTATTATTTTTATACGATATATATATATATATATATGTATGTATGTATGTATGTATGTATATGCATATATATATATACACACACACACACACACATATATATATATACATATATATATATATATATATATATATATCTGTGTGTGTGTGTGTGTTTGAACATATTAATTTTAACTATAAATTACACTTCGTAAATTAGTTTAAATTATTGAATTGAAAAGCTACAACATTGGGTGATGATAGTCGCATCCTATCGAAACACTAACTTCACTCCACACACTAAACTTACTCCATTAATTTCAAACTTATTTTAATACTTATTCAAAAAAAATAGTTTTAATGCATGAACTCATTTACAATATTTTGCAATTTTAAGATTTTGATAAAAGTTCTAGTTTGAATCATAATATAATAATAGTCTAATAATAATTTGTTTTTATTCTACTAAATAAAAGTTATTAGAGTACTCCTATATTAGTTATACATTTTTATTCTACTAATAAAACTTAACATCCGAAAATGATAGGGGGACTCTAAAATTGTGACACCAAATATACATCAAAACCAATACACAGTCACACCCGCCGACCAATTGTTAGACAAATCCACCCATAGCACTCCTCACTTAACATCCCATTTTAGACGGAACAAACACAAAAACTGCACAAAAAAAGGTGTGTGGGCACGTTAGTCATACGAAAGGTTAATAAAGTTGGATCTTTATTTGAATTCCGTATGCCCATAAATGTCTTAAAGCGTAAGCTAAGATGGTAACGTACTAACGTCATGCTCTCAAAAAAAATATTTTTATTGTTACCCCCAACAAGTATATCTCATATTCTCATTCTTTAGAGATTATACCAGTGTTTTGCATTGGCAAATAACTGATATGAACTAACGCAAAATGTTAGTGCAATTGATAGTTTTTGCAATGACATTTTATACTAGTGTGTATCAGCGTTTTGTCAGTATAAAGCAATGATGTACATAGTGGTGTACACTTGTGGTGTGCAAGTAGCACATAGAATAGCTCAACGACTGATAAAAAGATGTTACAAAGGAAAAATCCCGAATTCGAAGCCTGATAGCAGTGATGAGGGACAACTGTTAAAGTGTCATCCCATATTGGAAGTTCAAGAGCAAAATAATCGGTATATATGCTCTTGAGTTGAATTAATTAATCGATTGGATTCAATTTTTAATGTGGTTCAACCCAAGTGTCTTATTACTCAATCCAATGATCCATACCCCATCCTAAGTTCTATCATGGTATCGGAGCAGGTTTTGGCTCACCTCGTTGTCAAGGTGTCCATCTAGACGTTCATTCCTAGCGCCCCGTTAGTCTTTGGCCCAGTTGTCCGTATGGAGTATGTACCCAACGGCCTGTGTCCCGTTTAACACGATTGCTCGTCTGGAAGTCTATACCCAGCGGCTCGTGGTCCTTTAAGGTGTTGGCGCTCAAAAAAAAATTCAAGGGAATGAGAGTTTATTTGCAAGTGGTCAACTGGTTAGATTCAAAATGGCCCAGTTGTCCACTTGAGGGGGAGTGTTAAAGTGTCATCCCACATCGGGAGTTCAAGAGCAAAATAATCGGTATATAAGCTCTTGAGTTGAACTAACTAATCGATTGGATTCAATCTTTTAATATGGTTCAATCCAGGTGTCTTATTGCCCAATCCAGTTGTCCATACCCATCCTAAATTCTATCAACAACTATGCAAAGAACGAGGCCTCTGCAAGTCAAACACAGATTTTCACTCATACACTTAACTAATTGAGTTTATAATTCAATTTAATATACATCAGCTCCTCTCGACTAATTGTCTGACTGATGTTGAAGGTCCTCGGGAATGGAGTTCATCATTTAAAAAAACCTTTTGTTCCATGAAAAATGTACAAAAGCAAGCATCGCTTACTCCATTGGTCCTTTAACATTTCGTTAAATCGGAGAGGTTCTTTTGACATTATAACCTATTACTCATTCCTTACCACAAAATCTTTCTCCTTTTTTCATCCATTCGAAACAGGCTTTCTCATTTTTATTAAAAAAACCACTTTCACCCTTATTACTTTTTAACATATTTATCACATCACATTTTTTCACTATTAATATACTCATCACATCTTACTTTTACCCATCACATTCAAGGATATTTTTGAAAAGTCAACACTAAAATACACTCTTCTTAAATCATTTAGAAGTCAAAACCAGAAAGGTTTTGAGTATTTATATTAATTTCTGTTCATAAAATTAATACTTCATTCATTTTTAAAATCTTTTCTTTTTGCACGTTTCATTCGTCCCAAAAAAAACTTTCTACTTTTTATTGAAATTCATTTTTACCTACACTAGTTCTTAATCTACCAATTACATCAATATATTCACTATTAATCTACTATTCCTTTTAAAACCAATAAAGGACAAGTTTTTAAAGACAAGTAAAGTATTTCTTAATATTGTCCAGGAATATCCTTGCCCCCACTCTAGCCCCTATTCCCCTCGACCGGTCGTCGACTTGACAGCAATAAATACTGTCAAATCGTTGATAAAATATATTTTTGCATACATACTTTTCTAATAACAGAAAGTGTAAATGTAAAAAGAAATTTTGAGAGGGATGAAAAAACCCAAAAAATTGTAGTGTCTCCGTCCCAAAATAAGGTTTGTGTTCTGTTTATGATGTTTGATTGAAGTTATTTTCAATTAAATATAAATGAGAACTTGTATAGAACTAAAAATAAAAATTAAATGTCAAAAAAATATATCCAAAATTTTATAAAATAAATGGTGAGAATTTATTTTAATTTATTAAATGACCGATGAAAATGTACAAAGAACGTAGTGTCAATTTGACATATGAATAGTAGGTAGAGAAGCTAATTTGAGAAGGAGATACAATGTGACATAGGAAGTAGCTCATAGTTGGTTGAGGTTTGTTTTAAGGACCATGCTTCGCACAGACAAACACAGACGATAATTGTCTGTATCACACAGACAATTATCGTCTGTATTTGTCTGTGCGAAGCATGGGTGCACCCATGGTAGCACCCATGTGGTGGTACCCTAGCATTTTCCTTGTTTTAAATGTTTGCCTACATATTTTATAAGTTTGTTTGTGGCATCACTCCAGAAAAATAAGTTGTTTGACGCAAGTATGATAGCCATCCTTCAATTATTTGGTAATTCTCTAATTATCATATGACCAATTTCTAGCTAGTCTAGATGAGTTCAAAAAACAAAAATTCTAGTCTAGTCTAGATAATTAAATAAATGCCTCGACAATGGCAGATCCAAATTCTCAAATGAACGGTGTCAAGAGTAAAGGGGCCAGAACTTCTCAGGAGGATTGTGTGGGCATGTGACAAGAGTTCGGAGGCAGCGTGGAGTTAGCGCCTAGGGTTGACGCACGAAGGAAAACAAAAGAGGAGAGAAGAATTCTTATCTAACTATTCTATTCTTTTTATTGCTTGCCATGCCTTTGAATAGTAGAACATATTTATAGTGAATAAAAACCCTAATCCTACCCTGTCGGTTCAAGAAAGGCGTCAAGGGAATGAACCGAAAAGAAAACCATTGAAGGAGCTTATATTTCTGCTCACCAAATAAAATCTAAAGTACAAATAAAAATGACGGATGAATACAAAAATATTTATTAACGACAAATATAATCCTTGTAGCGTTGGGGTGGCCCAACGATCCTTCGAGAACGTCGTACTGCCGTAGGAGCAATAGAGTCATTCTGTTCTTCATGGGCCTCGTCTGGCGGGTATACTTGGTCCGTATCAAAATAGAACAAGAGGCGGGAATATTTAATCGGACAAAGGGAATACCACATTTGTGTTTGATGATTTTCTTTCATCTCTAATAATGGAGCCAAGGATTCATAGTTTTTAGGTCTGGAGTATGATGGAATAAAGTAAAATTTCTCTTCAAATTATTTGTGTTTGTTTTAATTGTTAAGTGGAAGTTTATAAATACAACTTTCAATGCTCATCCTGGGTTATCTCAAAACAGCCACTCCATTTTTTAAACATGGGTGAGGCAGCATATATATGTAATTAATTACTTGTGGTACTTGAGCAGTTGAGCCGAGAGTCTCTTGTGAAGTAGGCTATGTACTTTTGAGTAAGGGGTAAGATTTGCGTACACACCCTCCCAAAATCCTACTTTTGTGGGATTCAAATGGATTGTTTTTATCCTTGTATTTGCGTTTAATGACATCCATTTAAATTTTTTTAGTACACTTCCCATATACTTTAATGTTATTGACAAATTAGAATTAAAGTTTGCCGTCTAATTTAATTAAAGAATTTAAACTAGACGAACATCTAATCAAGACCTCAAATATTGTGCCCCGATGTATATCCCAAATGTTCACACTTACATTTTGATGGATTACATTGAAACAAAATCTGAGTACAATCGTAAGATTTCGAGGTGATATTTCGTGTCAAGTCATCAATCTTGTCCTTATATTGCCACAAAATATAAGTGTAAACCTTTGAGATACATTTTGGAGTACAACTTTTGGGGGAGAAGTAGATTTTTTCAAATTATTTATCTTTGATCTCTTTTACTTGAAGTTCAATAACACAGTTTATAATATGGCGGTTGCATACATGCAGGATAATGAAAAGAAGAACATATTGGCGGTCCAAACACTGCGGAACTCAATAATGGGGTCAACCCTAATGGCCACCACCTCCATCCTCCTCTCCTGCGGCCTCGCCGCCATCATAAGCAGCACCTACAGCATCAAAAAGCCTCTCAACGACGCCGTCTATGGGGCCCACGGGGAGTTCATGGTGGCCCTCAAGTACGTGGCCCTCCTCCTCGTCTTCGTTTCCTCCTTCGTCTGCCACTCCCTCTCCATCCGGTTCGTGAACCAGGTCAACTTCCTAGTCAACTGCCCGTTGGACCCCGCCGGGATTGTGGTCCCGGAGTACGTGACGCGGTTGCTGGAGATGAGCTTTGCGTTGAACGCGGTGGGGAACCGGTTGTTCTACTCGGCGCTGCCCATGTTGTTGTGGATTTTCGGACCCGTGTTGGTGTTCTTGTGCTATCTCACCATGGTGCCTCTCTTTTACAACCTTGACTTTGTTTTCCACGTTGATAAGGGGAAGAAGAAGGAAGATCTATTCAACAATAATGATCATATTCACAATCCAAATACCATAAACAATGTATAATGTCCCTCCTCTTTCTACTTCTTCATGGGTGTGTGAAAATAGTGGGATGAGATGATGGGATGATATTATACATTACCTATTTACCTTCCTCTTAGAGTATCAGTCTAGTTTAACTTTTTCGAGTTAAACTGGATAGACTTTGATCAACAATTAAATAAAAATTGTATTTGATGCTACTATAGAAATGACTTCTTAACATTATCTTGCTAAAAACCATCAAAAATTTATTTCATTGTATTAATTTAGGCATTGCAAATGCATGTAATATAATTGATGACTAAAGTTCGTTCAGATTATTTAAAAAGAGTAAAACTGAATGAACACTAGAAAAAATGAAGTATATAAATAATTTATAATCCGTAGTTCGGTATGCAATAATAAGTGAAGTGAGTCCATTCCTATTCTTTTTTTTTTTGGAAAGAGAAGAACATAATCATTCATAATAAGATATGAATAAAAAAAGGATGAATTTCATCTCCGAAGTCCTCCTCAGAACTAATCGTTCCGTCATCTGAGATGAGAAGAATTAAGTTAAAATTATAGACTGATTGGGACATGATGAAGCATGCATGAGACACTTGGAGAGGCTTTATATTTAACATATAAAATTACCTCCCAACACAGTCATCAAAAATCGAACTCGAATTTATCTCATTTGACACTCCTTGCTCAACCAGTTGAGTAGTGAAACAAACGTAGAGGGTGAAGCTAACCAGGACCCATGTTCAGACTTCATAGGGGAGCGAGTTGTTTGGGCAAGAGTATGGGCGAACGAGAAATAGAGAGCAATATTTACCAAGAACCATTTGAATCCCAAATTAAATAATAGATCCGAATGCCGAATCTAGGTATACCTAGATCATTGTAGAAGAAGAAAAATAAAAGTATAGATGGTGAAGATGATAAGAGATCAGCGCTCTCTTGGGCTAGTAAGTGTGGTTCATGCCGTCAGCATTTCTCTTTCCTAGAGTCTATTGACTAAACAAGATCACCCCATCATGTCTAATTTTTTTACATTTTTTGCATTAAAACCAAAATTACTTAAAATAAAAATATTAAACAAATATTTCATTAACATTAAATAAATACATTGACATAATGCAATAAAAAATAGGCAAAATAAAAACTAATAATTAAAAAAATAAAGTAATAAAAGATAAAAACTGTCGTTGAAAGAAAATGAAGGGAAAAAAAGAAGAAAAAAACTATGGTAAAGAAGAAGAAAAAGGGGAAAAAAGAACATACAAAAGGGAGAAGAAGATGTAGAAATACAAGAGTATTGCCCCTAATTGTTTTATTAAAAAAAAGAAATTTTGATGGACGTTTGGGGTGTTGGGACACCTCATGTAGGCGGGAAGGGAGAACTATGGAATATAATTTTCTTAAACATTTCTTATCCTCATTCCTCACAATAGCAGTAATGGCAACCCATTTGGCTCGCACAATCCAATGGCGGTGGTTGGAGTCAATTTCTCTTATTTGGATGAAGGAAAGTCGTTCATTTGGCTTTTTCCTGTAAATTTCTCTCCTTTTCCCTTATATTTTTGTTAAAATTTCACACAAATTAATTCCATTCCCAGAGAAAATTTCAAGGAAGAGACTAGGAAGGAGTTCAGCAAACCCCCATTTTCTTCCCCGGGAATCTGGACTAACATTCGAGGATCAAAGGGTGAAATTGGTCTGGTTACATATATTATTTTCTGAGATAAGGGTTTGAAAGAATGCAGAGAAACCTATGATAAGGGAGAAAGAGGAGAAATGTGGGGCTCCATGCCAACAATGAATGTTCAGGCTGGGAAAGAGAGAAATAAGTTGGTAGCCGTGGCGATCGACAAAGACAGAGGAAGCCAAATGGCTCTGAAATGGTCCCTTGACAATCTCATTGCCAAAAACCAGACCATTGTCTTAGTCCATGTTAATCTTACCCAAAGTGATTATCTCTCTCTCTCTCGTATGTTTGTATTTGTTATTAATTTGATAAGCATTTACAATGTTTGGTTAATGGTAAGAGTTGTTTGATCAAATCTAATGAGATCTTATAAATAAATTGCACAAGTGTTTAGGGCATCATGCAATATCCTAGATGATTTTTCTTTTATGTAAAAAAAAGTTAATTACACATTACATTGTTGATGTAGGACCAAACCAGGATCACGGCGTATACGACGAAAATGGATTGACAAGTAGAGAAATGGATCCACAGTCAAAAGACCTATTTCTTCCCTTCCGTGTCTATTGTACGCGCAAAGATGTCAGTTCTTTTGCGTTGACCTGCTCTGTTTACAGCATATATATGAGTACGATTTACGCATAAATCATAGCAATGTGCAGGTAAGATGTCATGAAGTTTTGTTAGAGGATTTAGACCCTGTTAAGGCAATTGTTGAATATGTAAACCGCGTAGGAGTCGAGATATTGATTCTTGGTGCTGCTGCTAAAGGCGGTCTTATCAGGTATTTATGCATTTTCATAGTGAATTGAGCCTTCAACTCCTACAATCCGTATGTTACAGCAAGACTGTTTGATGTGAGTCCATATGTATATACACACATAAACATGTTCAGAAGTGCTCTAATTTCAGTTTCCTTTTTGCCTAGAAGATTTAAAGCAAAAGATATCCCTGGAAATGTGTTGAAGGGGGTACCTGATTTCTGTACTGTATATGTGATCTCGAAAACTGGAAAGATATCTTCTACCCGGTCTGCTTCTCGTCCGGTGCCATTCACCCATCCTCTCCGTCACCAGCTGGATTCCACCAAACCAAATGCAGCAGGGACTCTGTTTCCTTCAAAAAGTTAGTCTTTTTTGGCAGAAACTTTATCGATTCTTCAACTGTTTTTCCATTCTACAATAGAAGAGTTAGCATATGCTTATCCTTACTTAGTTTCTGCAGCTGTTGAACATCCTGGAGATTCAAGATCTATATCCGAACCGTCTTCTGCCAGGTTAAAGAATGATATAAAGTAAGTCAGACTATGGAATCAGATTTCAAGATCATATAAGTAGTTTTGGATTCCAGGGCCTGATTGGAAGGCAATATTTGCAACAGGTCTCCGTTCACTCACAGGAGAGCACCGAATGGGAAACCATATGAACTCTCAAGACCGGATAATGACATATCTTTTGTGAGTTCTGGTAGGGCGAGTGTTGACAGTTGTTTCCCTTCGTACAATGACAGCTTTGAAGATGGTCCTACCCCTCCCCGGCTCTCGGGCTTCTCAGAATTTGAGACTAATAGTTTTGAATCCTCCAACTTTGGTCGGAGATCGGTCGACTTGTCACCTTCTGAGCTATCATTTGTTTCAATGGACAGTGATAGAATGTCTATATCAGGAATGGTAAGGGCACAAAGACAAATATTTTGCCTACTTATATCCCAACACATACCATTTTAGAACTAAACTGCTCAAAATCATCTGCACCTTCCCCAAAGGTATGAATTTCATACAGTTGAAATGTAATACGAATGTATTTGGGATCATTTAAGCTAGTTCTTCATAAGCTATATACTTGTATGTGAAAACCACATGTAACTGTTTGGACTGTTACAGTGGTTAAAATGGTGAAGGTTTTTCTGCTTCTGCGTTTTCCTCTTATGCTCTCTGCTCTAAAAAAAATGTCTTATTTTGTTTAATTTCCAAAATCTCTAGAGTACAAAGCATTTTCGGTATATTTGTTTTAGATATATTATGACATTTATTATGAAAATGTATGATTATTAAAAGTTTTCTATTTTCTTTTTTGAGAAATGGAAAATAAAACATGGCTGCCAATTTTTTCCTTATTTCTTTTTTCAGAAAACTGAAAACAAATACGGAAAACAAAACCATTACCAAACGGCATCCTGCGTTCAAAAGATTCTAACATATAGTTTGTTTGTGTGTGTGTTTGTTTCATTTGACCTCAGGATGACGTCGAAGCAGAAATGAGAAGGCTAAAGCAGGAGCTTAAGCAAACAATGGAAATGTATAGTACAGCTTGTAAGGAAGCACTTAGTGCAAGACAAAAGGTCTGTCAAGATCTCTTATTCCTTTACCTACTGCCATTGGAATAATATGCACATCCTAACATTTTTTCACTCTGCAGGCAATGGAGCTACAACGCTGGAAAATGGAAGAACAGAAAAGATTAGAAGAGGCGCGATTAGCTGAGGAAGCTGCATTAGCTCTTGCAGAGAAAGAAAAAGCCAAATCTAAGGTAGCCATAGAACATGCAGAGGCTGTTCAAAGGATTGCTAAATTAGAAGTTGAGAAGAGAATTAGTGCAGAAATGAGAGCTTTGAGAGAAGCAGATGAGAGGAGTACCGTGATGGGCCAAATGTCACATACATGCTTCAGATACAGGCGATACACCATCGAGGAGATTGAAGCGGCAACAGATAATTTCTCCAAATCTCTCATAATTGGAGAAGGTGGGTATGGGCCAGTTTATAAATGCTATATGGACCACACATCTGTTGCAGTTAAGGCCCTTCGTGCAGATGCAGCACATGGAAGACAACAGTTTCAGCAAGAGGCAAGAAAGATGATATATGCACACAGACACACACACACATTTTTATATATGCTCAACAGAGAATATGGACTAAGATTTTTCCAAACTAGGAGAGTAAAAAATATTTGCAAGCCCAAAATAGATGTACTGACTCTATAGCACTTGATGACGTTGAAATCTTGACTTTATGAAAGCTATGTTTTTTTATTTAGAATTTTTATATGGGAAACCACATTGTATGAAGCATGAACAAACTTGTTTGACAGAGTAAATACCATTTTCATTGTCCTCACTTTTGGTCTTACAACTTACATAACTATCAATTTTCGTACACAAGTTTTTGTCTATTACTTTTGGACCTTCCAAGCACACTTCTAAAAAAAAAGATGGAAGTTTGTTGGTTTAGTAGGGCGAAGCTTTGAACTTGGATTATAAAAAAAATGAAGCAAAATTTCACAAGGTGCAGTAGGTTATATTTTATCGGTATAAAGTTGGCTGATGTTGTTGTTGGGATACTAAGAAGTGTTGTATTTCCTTAGTGTGACCTCTTCTTATATTGGGTGACAGTGTTAAATATTCTTATTGATTGATTCCAGGTTGAAGTGTTGAGCTGCATAAGGCATCCTAATATGGTGCTTCTTCTAGGAGCGTGCCCCGAATATGGTTGCTTAGTATATGAATACATGTCAAATGGAAGCTTAGAAGACCGCCTATTTCAGACTGGTAAAACCCCACCACTCTCCTGGCAGCAGAGGTTTCGAATCACAGCTGAAATCGGGACAGGGCTTCTGTTTCTGCACCAGACCAAACCAGAACCGATAGTGCACCGCGATTTAAAACCAGGAAACATACTGCTAGACCGGAATTTTGTGAGCAAGATCAGCGATGTTGGCTTGGCTAGATTGGTCCCTCATTCAGTGGCCGACACAGTTACCCAGTATCGAATGACATCAACTGCCGGAACTTTCTGTTACATTGATCCTGAATATCAGCAAACAGGAATGCTTGGCATAAAATCTGACGTGTATTCCTTGGGGATCATATTTCTGCAGATACTGACAGCAAAACCACCAATGGGTTTGACTCACCTGGTTGAAAGGGCAATTGAGGCAGGCACCTTTGCTGAAATGCTTGATCCTGCGGTGACCAATTGGCCTGTCGAAGAGGCTTTGAGCCTTGCAAAGTTATCATTAAAATGTGCTGAACTTAGAAGGAAAGACAGACCGGATTTGGGGCAGGTAGTGATGCCTGAACTTGAGAAATTGAGAGCAGTTGCAGATGAAAACACGTTTCCATCGTCCTTGTATTATCCTGGCTGCTCTCCAAACCATAGTCAAGTTTCTGTGTCTCAAGTAAGTCAATTCTTTATATGTGTATTTGTCAGTAGTTGTAACTCTTGTAAGCATCAATAAATTATGGTTATCGGTGGAATGAATTCTGATTCTTTTGGTAAGGTAGTTCTGGTGGGCATATGACCATAGCTATTTCATGGCTTAACAAATGGGTCTGCATTTTACAGGAAAATCTGAGCTACCCTACAACCGGTCATTCTGGATATGATAGCTACAGGAGTTCATCAAGCAATGGGTTGTAGCAAGCCAAAACTCGGAAGCAAAGCATAGAGAGCCATTTTATTTGGAAATTGTGATTGATTTTTCCCTACTTCGTTGCGTTTAAACCCATCCCCCCACCCCACCCCACCCCTATAATTATGTTTAGCATTAGGGGTTTTTGGGCATCGTCATATTTGTCATCCGCAAAGAGAAGGTACATAGGTTCAAAATGAACAAAAAAAAAAAGTATGAATTTGTTATGGAGTATTTCTATTGTAAAATAGCCTGTAAAGAATTATTGGGGAAAGTTTTATCCATGAAATGTATTTTTAATCAATTCCTAGTGTTAATACATAGAACTTTCGGCAAGTATCGAAGCAAATAGTGATGGAAGCCACGCCCCTTGGCATACACTCCCTCTAGACCTTATCAAACTTTGGGCTAAGCCAGGCCAAGGCACTATATAACTGAAATTTTTAAGGCCCGAGCCCAGCCCAGCCCGCATTACATGCCTTATTCATTTTAAAACAAAAATAATGTGACATAAGAAAAAAACTAAAAGTGAAAAAAATTGGAAATGAAATATAAATTATTTTGAATAATTTATTTTAATTAAATGAAAGAATAGTGTAAAAAATTATTTTGAATAAAAACATAAAATATTAACACCTTTCATTTTTTCAATATTTTTCCAACCTATTCGAGTTTCTTTCAACTCTTAGTATTTTTCAAGTACTTTCAAGTTTTTCCAATATTCAGCTCTAATTTTCCAACTCAAAAGAATATGCTCTAACTACCAGTTAACAAATACAAACAAAAAAATACTTGCTCTCCTAAATAATAGGAAGAATAGAAAGAAAGGAATGGAAAAGACTAGTATTTAAACTCTCTCGTTTTTGTAGGAAATACGATGAAGAAAACTAAAAGGATATTGTACGGTCCATTTGGTTGGGGGAAATATTTTTCTGTAAAATTTCAATTCTAATTTTCTACATTTAATAACATAAGTGGTATGAAAATATTTTATAGAAACTGTTCTCTCAACAAGAGCAAAATGATTTTTGTTTGCTTTCAAAAAAAGTCTACTCACTCTCCGACCCCACCCCCGTGCACCTGCCACTCACCACCCCATTTTAGTCATGAGGTGCTACAAAATCGGCGCTGCGGAAGAATGTTCTCAATCGTAGCTATGTGTGATGATCTCCTAGAAGGCTAGAATGTGGTTATTAAATGGGAAGTATCTTTGATAAGTGAAATTGGCAATGGATTTCAACCTGATTTTGATATGTGATGAGGGGTAAATTGATATACATACCATTCCTTTAGAGAAGTTGCATGAGAGGCAGTTGGGTTAGACTCAATTGATGTGTCATTTGTTGTCTCCCTGTAGTGCTAAGAGTTCTCAAATAGCAAAGGGTGTGTTTCCCGTGACCAGATGATATACCCACCAGTGAGCTAAACAGAAAAAAAAATGTATGAACTCTGCTACTTATTGAAGAACATGAAAAACACACAAGGGGAGATGTAGGAATTTGTTTACCTTCAAAAGATAAGTAGCCAAAAGACTGACATAAGTATAGCAAAGAAACGAAAAATGATAGGAGCATATCATGTATGGGGAGGCAAACTAATATATAGTGTAATTAGATAGTGGTTACAGCATGCTTATCACCACAGGAAATGCCATTAATTAGCTTTACAAATAAAAAATGATAGGAGTATCATGTTCGGAATTGTAGACATCTTTGAATAAATTCTTGAAGGAAAGTACATAACCAAGCATTGGAATAATAGAATAAGAAGCCACGCTGTTAAGAAACAGAAATCTCTACTCAATGTGAAGTTTTATTTTGAAAGTTAAACTCTTGAACCATGTAGGCAACCCATTATAAAGTATCTTAAGTGATATCTTAATGAGGTGCACCACTGCACTAGAAACTTTTACTCTCCATCTATTCAACCAGCTAATAAAGAACCTCAATTTTAATCACCTCAACAGTCAACAACAACAAGAATTGAACCAAAACTGACATTTTTCAAGCTTAAAAACCAAACCGAAACCGAAACCAAAATTTTGGTCACTTCGGTTTTTGAACATCAATTTGACGGTTGGTTTGGTTAAATATCTCACCCCAACTTAGATCCATTTAAGACCGCTACATCAAAATCTCTAAGGTGGACAGAATTTTTATGATATGGAATTACCAAAGTACATGATGAATGAAAGAATCTTTAATGCTCCCTCCGTCCCAAAATGTTTTACACTTTACGCAAAACGAAGCGAATTTTAATTTTTTTTATTCATTTTATTTAAAGATTGGGTTGGAAATTAAAATTAAAATTTACATATTTAAAAACTACGTCAAAAGTTCTACAAAACAAAAGATGAAAAGAGTACTTTATTTTCTCAAATAATCAATCAAAATGCACAAATAAACAAAACTTTCTGTGATTTTTGAATAATTAAGAGTGTAATTCTTTATGGAAAAAAATTGTAGGACAGAGAGAGTACAAATTTCAAACATGGTTGCAGCTAAATTTTTAGCTAAAGACATTCTTGTATACAACTATCACAATTTGGTCAAACTCCCAAATACAACTCCGTATCCAATATCCACATTTAATTGTATGGTTGTAAATGTAACTGACTAAAAAATTACTACCATCTGGTGGGTCAAACATACTCCAAATACAGGATAGGAACTCAAAAACAAAGAATTCAATATACACATGAATTCAAAAACTTGTAAAAAAAATCTCAATCAACAACACATAAAAAAAACATTTAATAAACAACTGAAACAGATGTTAAATCATCAATGGCAAACAATAGATATATGCATATGTACTGTTACTGTATAAAAGACCAATCTAACGGGAATGGAGAAAGGTTATTTAAAATGTCACATGAAAGGAATAAGTGATAATCACACTACCTGAACGCTCAAATCATTTCCTTGTGAAGTTCAACAGGATTTAGGAGGTATAAATGATTGATGAACAGGTACTTCTAAAAAAAATCAATCAGATATTAAGAAGAAAGCTAGTGTCCAAGGTCTTTCAGGCAACTTAAATATAACCATACATAAAAGGGTGTTTGCAGTTCGCACCCTTTCATCCAAATTAAAAATAAACAAAATCAACGTGCATCTTTAATTAGAAACTGCCAATTTCCGAAGTCTGCTTTTATTTCTTCAATAAAAGAGAAACTGGGAAAAAAAAAACCAGTTTTCTGAGAAGAAGATGGGGATACAGGTGTGGTTGAACTTCCAGCTTAGCTTCATGCATACATACAAATATATCGTCAGAGCCAATCTGATATTGAAGTAATTGGTGTTGAATGATGAAAAAGGGAAAAGAAGTTCACTGCCCATTTAGTAATAACACAAGTAAGAATTGCTAATGTATTCTAAAAAATGAATCCCCAAAAAATACCCTTTAGATCAATGCTAGCTATTCTTCAAAACATCAACAAATTCATAAGCAGTCTCTTTCTTCTCAAAGAAACATGTGATTAATTACCCAACATGGAATTCCACTTATGAAATGGGTAAGGGACAAACGATCCGATTGAAAAGCAATCCGGGTGGTTCGCTTCTTTTGGTCCTCCATTCCGCACTGTAATAATATGAAGCAATGTTTTGAAAAGCGGACCGGACGTCGACTCGGACGAGATAGTGGGTCAAGGGTTGACCGGTCGAATCGGTTGAACCGGGGGTCAACGACCCGGTCAACTATGTTTATAATAATAATATTTTATGATATATTAGATATTTTTGGTTAATAAAATATTTTAATTTATGTTATTATTTCTCCATCTCTTTTTTAATATCCTTATACATATGATATTTCACACCTTCGATTTTTATTTTATTATTTTTATTATTATGAAAAGTTAATACTGAATCTCTAACAAATACTTAAATAATAAGGCGATACTCATATTTTCTAAAATTAAAGACTGTATATTTTATTCTTATATACATATGACATTTTAAAGTTAATATTTAGTTGATTAAAATGATTGAAAATAAAAAATATAGCATATTAAATTATACTCCGTAATTAATAATACTCCCTCCGTCCCCCATAGATCTTCCCATTAACCCTTTTTATTTGTCCCACATAGATCTTCTCATTACCTTTTTTAACATTTAAAATACCACAACTACCCCCACTTACTTTATTTATTACACCTTTTCCACCTTATTTAATACACCCCACCCATTTTTATTAAGGGTATTTTGGTAAACTTTCACCTTTTTTCAACTCTCCTTAAAAACCGCAAAAAATCAAAACGAGAAGATCTTAGGGGGACGGAGGGAGTATTACTTAATTTTTGAAGACAAAAATTTTTTAAATATAAAATATACAGAGTATATTTATTTTCAAATAAAAATTAAATTATTCTCAATTTTTAAAACTATTTTAAAAGTTCATAAATACAAATAATTCACACTTGCACAAAAAACTACATACTAGTATTAATTTTGTATGAACCTTTTGTAAAACCCTAAATACATATGATTGATACCTATATTTTAAACAAATATTGAGTAGCTCACTTGGTTGACAACTTGAATTAGTATATGGGAGGTGCTGGGGTCGATTCCCAACCACCACTTTTAGTTTTTATGTCTAAAAATTTACCGGGTCACCCGGTTCACCGGGTCCGACGGGTTTGGGCGGGTCAAAAGGGAGCCGGGTTTCTTCAGTGAACCGAACCGGATTTGTTGCCGGTTCGCGGGTCGACCAGTTGGACCGGTCGGTCCGGTCCGGTCTTCAAAACACTGATATGAAGACGAAGAAGAAGGGAATGCAAAGACACGGCCACTTGGACAGCAAAACAGTCAGTCCCACATCAGAGAATCACAAAGTGTTGGTGCGTTAATAAAAATTCACACGGACACAAATGTTGGTGCGTTTAACAAATATTAGTTTTACACCAACACAAAGTGTTGTTGCAAAACTGTGGGGTACAAATTGTGGTACAAACCTTGAGTACACATAGCATAATCCTAAATTTTCAGATGCCACTTTCGCTCGTTAAGTAACTCACCAACTTTTCCCAACCTTGAATCGAGCATTAGATTATGATCCAAGTCATTTCAAAATCATTTGGAAGAATAATTTGACTTGATTCAAGGTTGAGAAAAATTCTCATTCAAATATTTTTATTTTTAAAATTTTTAACTCTCTTACCTTTAAAAAATAATTATTTTTTACGACCTAATTTATATTGCCTCTGATGGTGTAAATATAGCTCGGTGGGTTGAGAAAAATTCTCATTCAAATATTTTTATTTTTAAAATTTTTAACTCTCTTACCTTTAAAAAATAATTATTTTTTCCGACCCAATTTATATTGCCTCTGATGGTGTAAATATAGCTGGGTGGGTTGACCGGGCTTGACCTGAACACACTCGACCCGTAGTAGAATACACACAACAAGAACACAAAGTATGACCTAGACCGGGTAAATCTCCTCAGTCCGAATTATATTTCTTACTCTATCTCAAGAGTGAACTTTAGTGAGAGAAAAATTGGATCCCCTCCTCTATCCACAATCATCATATTTATAAAGGAGGATTTGTGATCTTCCCCTGTTCATCCATTGACAAAATAGGAAGCCCGTGGAAAGGTCACTGTAGTTAATTGAAGCACTGTACAATCATAGATTTTAATAGGCTACAAGCCAAGACAATGTTCAATCAAAGACTATAAATGGATATTCTCAATCCAATCAACCCTACAAGATGACAAACATCCCTTTCACTGTATACCTCGTGATGGATGAGCGGCGCGGTGTTCCCTCGATCTTTGACGCGGTTCGCCACGCCTAAGAGATTGGACCCATGTTAGCCAAGTAACGTGTCATGACCGGTCACCTTTTCTCAAAGGTTACCCGGTCATTCCTTGAGCTCACCCGTCTCTTCGGTCTTCCAGAATATCCTTCATAACATTAGATGACGATTTGGCTATCGCCCAAAATGTGACCGGTCACTTTTTTGAGGGAAGTGACCGGTTAATTTTTGACCCGTCCCAATCGAAGAATTGTCCTTATTTGGTGATCGAAGAAAGTGACCGGTCATGTATTGACCTGTCCCTTTCGGTCATCCGGGTCAGGTATAAGGATATACCCATCAAGAAGTCTTCCACTTACCGGCCTTGTAAGGAAATCATCAAGGGCGGGAAGTATATTTATGTTGACCTATCACTTTTGAAATCATCAGGTCATTCCCAAGACCTGTCCTTATTTGAAATCATCAAGTCACTCCCATGACCTGTCCTTCTTTGAAATCATCAAGTCTTTCCCATGACCTGTCCTTCTTTGAAATCATCAAGTCATTCCCATAACCTGTCCTTTTGTGAAATCATTTAGTCTTTCCCATGACCTGTCCTTCTTTGAAATCATAGAGTCATTCTCATGACCTGTCCTTCTTTGAATCATCAAGAATTCCCTTTCAGACCTGTCACCTTTCGAATCATAAAGCCATTTCTTTTGAGACCTATCATTCTTTGGGATCATCAAGTCTTCTTATTAGACTTGTCCAATTTTGGAATTATCAAGTCTCCATATTAGACCTGTCCATTTTGGATCATTAAGCCATTTCATGACATGTCACGTTTAGATTTGTCGAATACACTTCATGACCTGTCCTTTTGGATTTGTGGCAGCCCAAACGTTGGGCCTGGCTTTTTTGTTTTGGAGTTCCCCCCAAAACCCTTCACCATTCAAATTCAAAATTTGAATTTCCCCCCTCATCATTATCTTTTACACGTGGCTGCTCCTCAGCCTCCCACCTGTCGCCTCGATTTCCAACCCTCCTCTCTCTCTCTCTCTTATAAATACTCCTCCAACCCATCCCATTTCTTCACTCCTTTCCTTCGCTTCTCTTGATTTGGCCGGTCTACTTTCTCTCTCTAGCTCTATACCAAGTAAGTGCTCCAGTCCTCCTAGTCTTTTATTTTTTCATCTTTCCATTTTCAACTGGCGTGACAATGTCTTCTGACAGTCAAAACGTATCTGGTCAATCCTATGGATCGGGCTCTCAGCCCTCTTCTTCTTCCCACTCTGAATCCTCTTCTCCCCTATCACTCCTCTAATCTGTCGTCCTTCCCAAAAGTCTAGCTCTCAGGCCCGGGAAATAGTTGCCCAAGAGCCTGTCCCCTTGAATCAGCAGCCCGGTCGATTCAATCCCAAGGTCCTTAGTTGGGTCCAATGGGAAGAACAACTGGGATCGCTGGGCTTCCTAGCCCTGGATGTCAGACCGGTCTTCTAGGGTCACAAAAAAGGTTCTGGCCGAGGTTCGTACCATCCTCTTGTTGTATTTAGGTGCCCTAGCGGCAATCAAATACCTATGTAACTGTACACTTTATCATGAATGAAAGGCCTTGAAGTATGTTTTATATCTCGTGTAACATAACATAGCTTCAGTCCATAGACGATAGCGCTTCAGTAACATAGATGAGGACTACGATGTTCTGATTATGAGACTGTTACTTCTTGACGAAGGCTATGTCTAGAATATCCCTAGTCGCACTTTATGATAATACGGACGTCATAACGTATCAAGACTAGTACGTACGAGATGAGATAGTTGCGTCTCATAGACTATAGGTATTGTGATATCTTAATCTGTACGTAGGTGCATATTATATTGATAATATGTGACTGGATTGACCCATCTTGAGAATACTGCATGGATCTACAGTAATGTGTTTATCAGTATTCTCAAATCGACCTTGCTATAACTATCCTCAGACTTGAAGTTATTACATTCTCTGATATGTGGGGCCGTATGCTTTGATTCATAACTAATGCTATCTGAAATACTGGTAGACGTACAGTTATGTGTTGGGTATGCCGCTAAGCATATTTAGAGATGTGAATAACAGATACAG